ATCATCTTGTTTACCAACGAGAATGATAATTATGATGCTAACGGTAGCAGTAATGGTAATGATAAAAGTAATAATAGCATCCAATAGGAAAAAAATGTTATGTAATTCGAATTTTCTTTTTATTCATCATAAAACTTTCCATCCTAATTGCCATCCAAGTGCGTTATAATCTGATTGAGATACGGTTGTGTGGTCTTGTCGTATGTTATTTTGTTGGAAAATCTCTACCTCTTTGATCCTTTTTTCCCAAGAATGTCATTATTGGTGTCGGAAACAAGTATGAAAAAGTGAACTTTTACTGTTGCAAAATCGTAACAGCTGAGAATTAGTAGCCTATCCGTTTCATGTAGCTTCATACAGGTTTACAGGTTTCATTGATGAAATATAGGTAACGTCGTCTACTTAAATTTATGTAAGCTTGGGCCGCTAATTTTTTTAATTATTTAAATAAGAGACTTAAGTCTGGAGCTCAGTTAGTCCTTGACTACATTCAGTTGCACGCACCTTTTGATCATGCTGCAGGATCTGCTTTCGAAAATCAGGAAGCCTTTCATTCACACTTGTGTTTAGTGCGTTCAATGTGCAAGGTGCACTCTGTATTGCGAGCCAGATTTCTTTTGTATTTTGCTCCTGGAAAAGAGCAGATTATGGTGTTCAATGATGAGTGGAACATACGATAAATATTTTTGGTAATGTCATATTTTTTCAACCACCCCCAAAAATTATCAATCTGCGGGTGGCATCAATCAGTGTAGATCACAAGAAGCACATAAGAAGAACAATAATTAAAATAAAGTTAATGATAGAGATGACTTGTTGACATCTGTTAGGCTCATAAGGATTTTTGTCGGCATCAGTGTATGATTAATAGAAAGATTGGATTAAGTATTTAATAAGAGACAGTAGCTTAACAATTTGGCTCTTAGAAAAATGCTTTCTGGTGTGAAATATATGTAATTATTCTCCTAAAGAAGAGTATAGATCAAAGGTTAGCGCTAAATTTTTCGAAGCAACGAAGAAGGCTCGTACTCGTATTGGCTTATAAACGGATTTTCATTACGTTGTCGAGTTAGGGGACAGTAAAAAACAAGAGAATAAAAGAAAATAATTTCATCCGGATTGAAGCGTTCCAGAGATTTTGAGCCAGGAAACACATCCAGTTTATGTTTCTTAAGGTAGTTTTAATTGGCCTCAGCATGATATCTTCGTAAGCTGTGGTGGAATGTTGATAAGGCAAATTTTGCTCTTCCCAAGATACGACCGTAGAGCAAATGTGCTGAGTTAGAAAAAGTATTGAATTTGCCAGACGTTGGTACTGGAGACAAAATGTACACATGAGATGTATAGTCAAGATTACAGTCGTTGGTTTTATATATTTGTGACTTTATGTCACGTCAGGTGATCTAAACTCGTCTCAACTCCTTACACCAACCGAAAACCCAAATACCCCATGATGTAAAAAAAAGGGTTTGCGTCAGAAACGGATTAGGTGAAAAGAGTTTCACCTTAGTGTTCTTTGTCTATGATTTGCTGAACTCATAGGAGGATTATGAGCCAAAAAAGCCTTGGGAGAGAGAGGAACACGACATGGCATGTGAAATTCACAAAACTCTCTTCCAGTTCCAGATTTAACACTTACTATCACATGAAAACGACTTGATGACTATCATTTTCTTTTAAAGTGATATTTTGGATTTCTCGACTGAACAGACAGTTTCACGCAGCCGAGCACAGCTTCTCGAAATTATTTTCACACAAGAAATTGAAATCACGATGAGGTGATGGATACATGTACATGTTATCCAACAAAATGGACAAGCATCGGCAATAATGTGTCGGTAAAGACAGCCAACAGTACAACCAACAAACGAACTTCATTTGCTGGTTGTGTGGCCATGAAAAAGTTAATAATTAGGGAATATATATATATATATATATATATATATATTTCTTCATGGAAGGTGCCGACGTACTATACTTACGCATGAGTTTGTTTTCACAAAACGAACGAGCGTGGCTTTGCTTTGTTTGAATAATTCGTGTTTGAGCACTGTAGTTCGTAAGGTGAAAATTGTCAAGACTTGCCTTCTCAGTCATTGTTTTCATTAGAGTATTAACTTCCATTTCATTGGCTTTAGACCAACTTTTATCACATTTTTTTTTGTAGTATTATTAGTACTCAGAGTGCATTTGGTCTGTTCATGGACTTTGGTCTCTTTTCAGAATAGATCTTGAAAACAACAACAGGATCTCGTTTGCACGGTAAATCTGTAATCGCGAAAGCTTTAGGTTTTAATGGGTCGAACACTACGTCGATCAGCTCCACTTTTGGTTTTAGTTTTTGTCTTTCAGAAAAATGCAAATATTAAGTTCCATCTGCATCTTTCAGGAGTTGAACGTCTCCCCAGCACGTTTTCCGATGCTCTCCATATCCTCTAGGACCAAAATGCGGTAAATTGAAGAGTCGAAGTGTGTTTATCAATGCTTCTCCGTTTGAAATTCCCAGGAGATTTTTTTTCACAGATAATATTGATCTAATCATCGCTTAGGGCTTCTGCTGCATTGGGTCCATTACCTTTGCCCTCCTTTATTAAGGTGCTTGTTTTTAGCTTCGAGACATCTTCTTGCACGTTCAAAAGTAACGTCTTCGATGACACCGACGGGATATTTGCATTCTTTCAAATGTCGATTAAACTTCTAAACAGACCTCTAAGACTTAAAGTGCTTATGGCAAGATTTTTTTTGTGTAAATATTTAGCTTATCATTTTATCCGAAAGAAGATAATTTAAAAAAACTTAAAACTCGGTTATTTTTGGGCTCTAAATGCTATTATTTTGTCTTAAAAGTGTCTCGTGAACTGGTATCAACATAATACACTCTGGCAGTGGCCACACACACGAAACGGAATGTAGTTTGAGATAGACATCAACTTGAACTAGTGAGAATGCACAAGCAATCGAGTTTATTCTTCAGTCTAAAAAAGGACATTTATTGCTTTATCTGAGGATCCTGTTTAGATAAGGTTAGTTTTTTATCATTTTACTCTCCTTCATATTTCTTGAACAAGTTTGCCCACAACAGGTACAAAAATTGAAATTTGTTTTGATTTTGTAGCGAACACTGAGATACTGGTTTCAATGAGGTAAAAAATTGGAAAAGCCAAAAAAATTGGAAAAGCCAAACTCATCATGTCAGTGATTAACTTCCCTTTTTGCTTCAGTTTATTTTCCAGTTCTTTGCATGGAGAAAATGCTCTAGAATAATTTTTGTCAAGAGTGGTTTCTTGAGGTTTGCCGAGGATAGTTTCGGACATAGCATGCAGTCGAGCGATTGCTTATCCCTTTTTACGATGCACTCGAGACATAACGCCTCATTTATGGGGCTTAAACGTTGTTGATGCGTCTTTGAGAAGGGCTAGAGTAGGTACTCGGGCACCTCACGGGTATTTAACTGTCTTCCGTGCCTGAGGAATGGGAAATTTGAACCTTACGTGGCTGGGGTGGGGAATTTGAACCGGAAATGTAAGTCTTTCTAGAGGGTTAAAGAACTAAAGGTCTGCAGGGTCTAGAGTTTTAAAGCTCGGTAAATGAGTAGAAAGTCACGGATTTGAATTTGTTTTGAATTTTGTGTTGTTTAAAAGATATCGATTCTGAATATTTTTTCGGATTTGCAAAATATTTTGGATTTTCCCTTTTCGGCTTCCGTACTTCTCTCATTGCCATCAAAAAATAAATGAGATATGGTTTCTTAGGTCTTGGGTCTTAACTTCTCTTTTCGCTGCGACCGACAGTTCAGTGATGACAAGGATTCTGAATTCGAATTCATAGTTTCGTTTTTCATATAGATTAAGTGTAGGGCTTGTTTAAAGTCATCGAAAGAAGAAAAATATCCTTCACGAACAGCCTCTCAAAGCAAAATAGATCTTAGAGCAAACTCAATTACCGACTGCGCGCGCATTCCAACGAGGTGACGTTTATTTCAAACAACACTCATGTCTGTGCCCTTAGTTAGGGCGCTTCATGTGTACATTTTGCGCCCACCGTTGGTGGAAAAAAAATTGTAAGGAAGTATCCTGAAACGTTGGGTTGGGTTTCCTTTATACTGATAAGAACATTGAAACATACCAAAAACGAAATTAAGACCTACTCAAAAACATGATGTAATTTATGTAATAGCTAACGAAGGATATCTAAACCGTTGGCGTGACAAGGATCAACTGCAAATGTAGCTTACAGGCTCTGATTTTGAGCAGGTCACCAATCACTACCAAATAAACTAGTTTGGAATTCACAAGAATCTTTTCTTTTTCGAAAGTTTTCGTTCTCAAACGGTAAGCGAAATCAACCCTTCCGAGCGTTAATACCGGATCGATTGTTTACATTCATTGGGTAACCAAATATTTATCCCATTCCGACAATGTCGCCCAGACATATTTGATTTTGCCCAAAATCAACAGATACTTCCGTAATATTAGGAAAACTTCTGGAATTTGCTTTCCTTCTGGACGAAATAAATACTTGGACTTTATTTCTGATTTAGGAGCTGGTCCCAGATATAGCTAAGTCATCATAGATTAATAACTGTTCTCCTTTGACCTTTAAATTTCCCCAATTTCTTTATTAATTCGATCAATTCATCCATAAACAGACATTCTTTCAAATAAATGGCAACTTCTGGATCGAGGTAACATTGGAGATATCAGGCTAACAAGTCGGGGTACATTTTTACTGTTCTAGTATGGGCGGACATGGTCGGCTTATCGATTTTTTGCCAAGCCAAAACAACTGGAACTTTTTAATACCCATTTCGTGGTTAAGACCCTAAAATTAGCCTTCATGCCGAATTTCAGCCACATCAGCAAGGTTAAGCGGCCGTTTTTTTTTTTAAGTTCGAAACTTACAGACTATTGCTCCGAAAAACTGAAAAAAACAAAAACAAAAACAAAAACAAAAACAAAAAACAACCAACCAACCAACAAACAAAAAAAACACACTTTTTCTAGGATTTGAATCATTTATTTTTGACGTCGCTTTTCTATTCATCTTTCTCTGTAATTATTAATTTGGCTTTTACTAGGCATATTTGAAAAATAGCACATGTTAAAAAGGTAAAAAAATTGTTCTTCGTCTCGTTTCTGATTCAACACTCTGTTATGCTCTTTACAAAAACTCCTGTTCATCAAACGGCTTTCCGTTTTCCTCCTTATGACTGGCACTCTCAGTAGTGGATGTAGCAATACATCGTTGGTTCTCCAGTTGTTAGGGTACCTTCGCAATTGCACTTGTAGGTTCTCTTTCCACCTGAGATGATGCTTGATAATCTAGCAAGTTTTGCATCATTTGTACCGCAGTTTACGCCGATAAAGATCTTACCCTGGCCGGAAAAGAAAAAGATATTAATGATAAATTACTTTTAAGAGTTCAAAATGCAGAAGACCAAAACAGTTATTTCCTCTTTGTAAATAGGCCAGATTACACCCATTTTAATGAGTGAGCTCTTGACGTGAAGAAAGCCGACGGCTACAATCCGGGTAGTCCCTGTTGCAAATTTTCCGTTCCCAAATCATGTTATCATAAATGCAGCCTTCACATCTTGGAACGCAAGAATGAAAATATACCTTAAGGGGAGATCATCACTCCTTGTGGAATTATAGAATTCGAAATGATCATATAGATATCCTGAAAGGTATGTAATTGTCCAAAAGAAATCTTACATTTAGCGGCAAAATGAACTTGTCCGTAAGAGGCTGTTAAATTTATTTTCTCTCTCTTTTTTTTAACTCTACGTTTCTTTTAATATATGGTGATGGAGATTTAAGACTTAAAGGAAATTAGCTTTGATTCTCAAAATAAATGCGGCCTATGGCTGAAAATGAAAAATGAAATTTCTGAATCCAAGTAAAGATTAACGACTTTAGACAACTCCTTGGACCAGTAAATCTAGTCTTAAGAGTGTTAATATGTTGTAAAGTAATTTTTAATAGGAGATTTGTTTTTTGTGTTTTTGTTTTGTTTTGTTTTTTTCTCTGTTTTTTTTCAGAATAAAACAACTTTTTCGATCTTTGACCCAACTAACGTTTGGTTCCGTCGCTGAAATTTTTTGTATGGTCACCGAGCTTGCTACCATACCAATGCTGGATGAAGTCTTAAAAACACAGGAACTGGGCCCGGGTCCAGGTGGGCCCTGGGTTCCATTGTACCCAGATGGTCCACGAAGGCCCTGCACACCAGCTAGTCTAGATGGTCCTGCAGGGCCACGGGTACCATTATATCCTGGAGGTCCGGCAGGTCCGGCAGGTCCAATATCACCCTTAGTACCATTATATCCTGGTGGTCCGGGAAGTCCAGTAGGTCCAACGTTACCATTACTACCATTGACTCCAGGTGGTCCTATCACGATGCTCCTGCTGCTATTTGTATTTTTCACCTAGACAATTAAATAAACCTTTATATTATACTGCTGTGAATGAATCAACTACAATTTGCAATTCTAAGTCTGTTCTAGTTTATTAACTAGAAGTGCTTCTCACAAAGATAATTTTCAAAGGGGGCGAGAAAAATATCGTAAAATATGGAGAAACTTTGGCTAACACTCTAGTTAGGCGGTAGTTGGGAATTTAGAGGATCTCTCCAAACCTCCAATCGATGCACTCTGCGAGGGAAAAAAGTCGATTCAAGCATTTCTTAACTTGAAAGGTAAATCATGTGATCTTTATTTATTTTCGGATGAACAGCTACCAAGGGAAGTACTGCCTGACACAATACTTCTAAAGTGGGCCTTATTATTAGGCTTACAAAGGAAGCGCATAATGGTCTAATTGAGATACCGATCTGTGGTCTTGTCGTGTGTTATTTTGTTCGAGAATCTCTAGATCTTAGATTCCTATTTTCCTAAGAACAATTTTCCTGGGTAGGAAAAAAGTATGAAAAATTGAAAGATGATGAGAGAAAATTATGAGAGACGGCAGCTGGAAAATGGGGCTCTTGGAAAAAGGCTTTCTGGTGTGAAATATATGTAATCATTCATCGAGAGAAGAGTATAGATCAAAGGTAAGCGTTAAATTTTTTGAAGCAACGAAGGACACTCGTAATCTCATTAGCTTATAAACGGATTTTCATTATGTTGTCGAGTTAGGGGACAAGCCAAAACAAATCAATGAAGAAAAATAGTTTTATAGTTATTTCGACCTGTCTGGCTGGCTGTTAAATGTTTGAAATCCGTAATGTAGTGTATACAGTGTTGTATTTCACCCATTACTTCAAATGATAAAAAAAAAATGCTCCTACCGAATATTCTCGCAGAGCCGAGAGGTTCCTTTTCATCTCTTGCATATTCTTTTCAAGTTCTGACGCCCCTGGTGGAAATGAATATAGGAAAGAAGAGACTATATCAAATATGCAAAGGACTGCATTAAGCTGTTGGGTATTTTTCATCAGACAATTAGTAGCTATGATATAGTTCAAAGAGACAAAAAATGAATATACGTCAGTAGTAGACATAAAAAAATTGGCAAGTGACGACAACCTTTTTTCTTTTATTTTTTTTATAACAGTATTTACACTAGTGAGTAACGCTATATCTCATTTGAAAGAGGACAAAATAAGCTTTACAGAAAAAAATTTTTTGCCTTCAAAACTCCATGTATTTTAAATCATGCTAAGAAAATGGCATACAACTTGCATAAATTATCAGACAACGTTTGACTTTGAAACAGCCTGGGCCTGAATGGAGGGTAGTTACAAGGAAACATTTTAAGATAAAATATTTCTTATGTTACGGGCAAGACATCCGGAGAATCTGGCTGAAAAAGAACAAATACATAATTAATTGGAATTTTTTTCCAAACTGTACGCCAATACCATAAAAATTGACCCAGATTATTGAAACATTTATTCCACACCGAGTATACACAAGGGAAGTAAGCTATACCTCAATTGAAACAGCAGTAAATAAGCTTTCCTGAAATGCATGTTTCTTCTCCAAGAAAAAGGAAACAACCTCATTGAATGCTTTCAAACTAACACTTATTAGCATAAAATATCATCAAAATTTGAACTGTGAATTAAGTGATACCCAAATGATATAAAGTAATGAGGCAAAAATTAACTAAACAAGTTCCTTGCTATATGAGCATCATCTCCATAAAAATTGGTTAGAAAATAATAAATCTGAGATGTGTTACACATATTTAGTGAACACTGATTGAAGTACGGACTAATAAGTCTTACCTTATTATAATGCCCAAGCCAAAATTTACTAATCCCTCTTGCAGCATCTTTCCCAATATGAATGTTGAAGTCTACAGTGCAACCATTGGAACTATATTTCTTTGTTTGACTTCTGAAATTTTGCCTTGAAATAAGGACAAATGGGATAATCAACCTCAAAACACATAAAGCGCAACATATATCAAAAGCCTTTCACTTGCAATGCACCACCAGTATTTTTCAAGAGTAAAACAATTCAGAAGTGAAACCCGAAACTGTCATTTTATATCATTCCACTCATTTTTGAGCATAACTTGTTTGTTTTGTGAATTTTCGGCATGTAACAAGTAGAACCACATCTAATAAACATACAAGATAATGTACAGGTCGATATATATAAAACTATCGTTTTAAAAATTAAAGATTTTATTTGATTTAGTTCGGACGCACACTGCGTCATTCGATCTGTGATTGGCAGATAATTTAGGCCGTTGCGTTATAAAATTCCATTGAACATTATTTACTCTGTCGCTTCAAAATCATGTTTGATAACAATATATTTTGCTTTTCATTCACAGATATACATGTACAGGTTTGTCTCAAGGCAAAAAACAAGAATTCGTGCGCGAAAAGTAAAAGTAAATGTAATTTGACACTGTTTCAACACCACATGCGTCACGCAGTTAAATATCGCAAGAATGTTTATAGATTACTTACCTCGATTCTTCGCCAGGATTTTCCAGTCTTCTGTCTAATTCGGATTCCTCACCACTAGACATACCACTTCCAACCGTCCCTGAATCCTTAGGTACGCTGTATCTCCAGCGTTTCGCATCGAACGCTATTGTCGCAGATTGAAATCGTACGCAAATGACTTTTCGGAACCGGCTCCCAAGGTCACGTTTGGTAGTTCGGAGCTAAAACTCGCCATGTGATTGGCTTAGAATATCTACATGTTACAGTCGGAATTTCAGAACGATCGGATGTAATACGAACATTTCCAAAAAGGCCAACGTCATCGTGCAATTTTGCACGATCGACCCAAGGGGTTGACTACGTAGAGTTTAATTAATTAAGGATAAATATAATGATGGAAGGATTGCTCCTTGTAGCTATGGTCATTTTCGTAAAGTTCATATGCAAATGATCACTGTAAGGAAAGTGCTAGCAAAACGGGTCTAAAGTCTGCAGTTCTGCTCAAATCTCTCCTTCCAGAAAGACATGGGAAATTTTAAGATATAGATGAGTATCTTTTTACTTAGACTGACACAATTTCATGGAATCTTAGTTATAAGTGAAGGATGCTTAAATTATATCCAAGAGGAAGTTCATTTTAGTTACTCTATGGGCAGAAAATTGGTCAGCACTTATTAGACTACTTCCTGCTTCATCGTATCGTTTAATAAGTGGCAGTTTTAAAATTTGAAGAGATCAATAGTTATGAGCGTTTACTTACCACAGGGAAGGGCTGCGGAAGGTGTACGGGTACATGTCGAAACCTCGCTCTGTACCGTCATGATTGCCACAGCTAAGACCAAAGTGGCAAAGGCTGAGAACAATGAAGCAAAGGCAATGGCGCATGCAATAAAAAGTAAACGTTGAAGCTTCTCTGTATCGGAATCTTTACACGGCTGTGCTTTCACTTTTGGCTTTGCCTGAGGAGTGTCGTTTCTTATAGCTTTATCGTCACAAGTTTGAGCGTCATGTTCCACTTCGGATTCCATTTGGAAAGACATATTGTTATGCCCGACCTCGTTCCTAAGATCCATCATTGCCTCGTACGATTGTGCCGGTTTTGAAAGAGATTCTCTTTAGACGCTTTTGGAAGTGAAACAAGCTTAGGCTTGTCGAAGATATTCTAGAATCCAATGAAATTTGATCATATGATCATCACTGACAGCTTTCTATTGTGGAACAGTGAAATATGGCTGGCACCCAAGCGGCCTGAAAATATACGCAATAATGCTTATCATTGAAAAAAACATTCACCTGACCGAAAATGGTGATGTAAGCCTGTTTGTCACCGAAGTTATGCTGTCATTCGATAGCTCCTGGCTGACGATACATCCACGTCTTTGGATTTGCTTGAAATTTAGTATTTAATCCGGACTGACGTGTTCCAGAGATGTTAAGCCACGAAACACATTCAGTTTATTATTTCTATCGCAGTTTTGAGTATATCTTTGGTGGAATGTTGATATGGAAAACAGTATGACTCTATTTTCCTCTTTCAAAGATAGCTCTGTGTTAATAAAAGTATGGAACTTGCATGAAGTTGGTACTGGAATCTTTTTTGAGACAAAATGCACACTTGAGATGTATATTCAAGATGACAGTCGCTGATGTTTAATCATTTGTCTGCCCTGGGACCTTAAGTCGCGTTAAGTGATTGGTCGGACGAAACACCAAAAAATCAACACTAAACTACTATTAAGACCCTAGTTTTAAATAGTTTTGAAGCCAGGGCAATGAAACCGCAGTAGGATGTGACTCGATGCAGAAAGAATATCCTTTCATTGTAACGGTAAATAAGGAAATTCTGGAACGACTATGCCTTAAAAATAAGTTTATGACAAAGATATAGTTTGTTGGAAACTGTACGATGCGTTAATTATTCCTATTCGATTGACATTTATGAGTGATTTCTTTTATTCATACATAACTAAACATGCATGTGTGCGGCTCGTGTTTTATTGCTCCATATATGGCACTGTTCCACGTGCTCACAACGGGACGTTGAGGTTTTTTTTTTTTTTTTCGAAGAAGCCGAGAATCGTGAGTGGGAGTCAACCGAAGCACGGTATCAAGCAAATAACCCGTGAGTAAATAAGGAAGCGTGGTACAGCCTTTTTCACGTCTTCGACAAGTTTTCAGAATTAACTTTCGTAACTCATTACGCTGTCTGCCGATGGATTTAGGCAGAAACGATACATCTTAGACCTGTTCTGTTGGATTTGTTGGCAAAGACGATTTTACTTGTTGTTAGTGATCCATAGAAGCATTGTCCCCAAGGGGAAATTGGTCTATTTCCCAGAAACTGAAAAACAACAACAACAGCAACAAAAACCACACTATTTTTTTTTTCTAGGATTTGACTCATTTATTTTTGGCTTCACTTTTCCATTCATATTTATTTGTAATCATTTATTTGGCTTCAACTGAGCATATTTGAAAATTTGAACTAATGTTAGAAAGGTAAAAATAAAGTTCTTCCTCTAGTTTTGATTCAACACCCTGTTACTGTCTTCACAAAGACTCCTGTTCATCGAATGGCCTTCCGTTTTCCCTCTTATATCTGACACTCCCAGTTGTGCATGTAGCAATACATCGTTGCTTCTCCAGTTGTTAAGGTTCCTTCGCAATAGCACTTGTAGGTTCTCTTTCCACCTGAGATGGCGCTTGATAATTTAGCAACTTTTGCGTCATTTGTATCACAGTTTACGCCAATAAAGATCTTACCCTGGCGGGAAAAAAAAAAGATTCTAAAGAAAATGATAAATTACATCAAGAGTTCGAAATGCAGAAGACAAAAACATCCCTTTCCTCTTTGTGAATAGGCAAGTGTACATTCATTTTTATGAGTGAACACTTGACGTGAAGAAAGCCCACGGCTATAGTTCGGGGAATTCTTGTTGCAAATTCACCGTTCTTAAATCATGTTATCATGAATACAGCCTTCATATCATGGAACGCAAGAAGGAAAATATACCTTTTTGACAGGAGATCATCGCTCTATGTGGGATTATAGAATTCGAAATGACCATTTAGATATCCTAAAAGGTATGGGATTGTCAAAAAAAAAAACCACACATTTTATCACATATTTAGCAGCAAAATAAACTTGTTCGTTTTTTTTTTTTTTTTTACCTTTCGTCTTTTTAATATACGATGATGGAGATTTAAGACTTAAAGAGATAAAATTAGCTCTGATTCTCAAAATCAATGCGGCCTGAGGCTAAAAATAAAAACTTAACTCGCTGTATTCAACTGAAGCTTTACGACTTCCGACAACTCCTTGGACCAGTAAATCTTTGGTTAACATTGTTAACATGTCGCAAAGTAATTTTCAACAAAAGATTTGTTTGTTTCTCTGGTTTTTTTTTTTTTCAGAATAAAACAACTTTTTCGATCATAAAATCAAATTACGTTTGGTGCCGTCGCTGTTATTTCTTGTTGGGCGAACGAGGATGCACTCATGCCAGGACTCGATAAAGTCTTAAAAACACAGGAACTGGCCCCGGGTCCAGGTGGGCCCTGAGTACCATTATACCCAGATGGTCCACGAAGGCCCTGAACACCAGGTAGTCCAGATGGTCCTGCAGGGCCCTTGATACCATTATATCCTGGAGGTCCGGCAGGTCCGACTGGTCCGGCAGGTCCAATGTCACCCTTAGTACCATTATATCCTGGTGGTCCGGGAAGTCCAGTAGGTCCAACGTCACCATTACTACCATTGACTCCAGGTGGTCCTATGATGCTCCTGCTGCTATTTGTATTTTTCACCTAGATAATTAAATAAACCTTTATGTCGTACTGCTGTAAATAAATCAAATACAATTTGCAATTCTAAGTCTGTCCTAGTTTATCAACTAGAAGTGCTTCTCAAAGAGATAATTTTCAAAGAGGGCAAAACCGAAGCAAAATTGAAACAAATAACGAGAAAAATATGGTAAAATATGGAGAAACTTTGGCTAACTCTCTAGTTTGGCGGTAGTTGGGAATTTAGAGGATCCCTCCAAACCTCCAATCGATGCGCTCTGCGAGGGAAAAAAGTCGATTCAAGCATTTCTTAACTTGAAAGGTAAATCATGTGATCTTTATTTATTTTCGAATGAACAGCTACCAAGGGAAGTACTGCCTGACACAATACTTCTAAAGTAGGCCTTATCATCAGGCTTACAAAGGAAGCGCATAATGGTCTAATTGAGATACCGTTCTGTGGTCTTGTCGTGTGTTATTTTGTTCGAGAATCTCTAGATCTTAGATTCCTATTTTCTTAAGAATAATTTTCCTGGGTAGGAAAAATGTATGAAAAATTGAAACCAGTGAACTTTTACTGATGCAAAATCGTAACAGCTAAGAATTAGCAGCCTTTCCATTCAATGTTGCTTCATAGCTTATAAGTTTCATTGATGTAATATAAGTAACGTCGCCTACTCGAGTTTGTGTAAGTTAGGGCCGCTAATTTTTTCTAATTCAAATTAGAGACCAAAGCTCAAAGCTCGGTCAGTCCTTAATTGCATTTAGCCGCACGCACCTTCTGATCAAGCTGCAGGATCTGCTGTCCAAAATCAAGAAGCTTTTCATTCACACTTGTGTTTAGTTCGCTCAATCTGCAGGGTGCACTCTGTATTGCGAGCCAGATTTCTTTTGCATTTTGGTCCTGAAAAAGAGCATAATATGGTGTTCTATAATGGGTGGAACATACGATAAATATTTTAGGTAATGTAACGTTTTTTCAACCACCACCAAAAATTGTCACTCTGCGGGTGGCATCAATCAGTGTATATCACAAGGAGCACATTAGAAAAACAAAACTTAAAATAAGATTAATGATCAAGATGACTTGTTGACATCAGTTACGCTCATAAAGGTTCTTATTAGCCTGAATTAAGATACATTGCATTGCTTGCTAAAAAAAAAAAAAAAAAGTCAGTTACTGCCAAAACTTCTATAATTTATTCCCTATACGCCAATACATGAGATATTAGTGAATGATTAAAAGATAGATTGGATTAAGTATTTATTAGAGACGGCAGCTGGAAAATGGGGCTCGTGGAAAAAGGCTTTCTGGTGTGAAATATATGTAATCATTCATCGAGAGAAGAGTATAGATCAAAGGTAAGCGTTAAATTTTTTGAAGCAACGAAGGACACTCGTAATCTCATTAGCTTATAAACGGATTTTCATTATGTTGTCGAGTTAGGGGACAAGCCAAAACAAATCAATGAAGAAAAATAGTTTTATAGTTATTTCGACCTGTCTGGCTGGCTGTTAAATGTTTGAAATCCGTAATGTAGTGTATACAGTGTTGTATTTCACCCATTACTTCAAATGATAAAAAAAAAATGCTTCTACCGAATATTCTCGCAGAGCCGAGAGGTTCCTTTTCATCTCTTGCATATTCTTTTCAAGTTCTGACGCCCCTGGTGGAAATGAATATAGGAAAGAAGAGACTATATCAAATATGCAAAGGACTGCATTAAGCTGTTGGGTATTTTTCATCAGACAATTAGTAGCTATGATATAGTTCAAGGAGACAAAAAATGAATATACGCCAGTAGTAGACATAAAAAAATGGCAAGTGACGACAACCTTTTTTCTTTTATTTTTTTTATAACAGTATTTACACAAGTGAGTAGTGCTATATCTCATTTGAAAGAGGACAAAATAAGAAATAAGCTATACAGAAAAAAAAAATTGCTTTCAAAACTCCATGTATTTTAAATCATGCTAAGAAAATGGCATACAACTTGCATAAATTATCAGAGAACGTTTGACTTTGAAACAGCCTGGGCCCGAATGGAGTAGAGTTACAAGGAAATATTTCAAGATAAAATATTCCTTATGTCACGGGCAAGACATCCGGAGAATCTGGCTGAAAAAGAACAAATACATAATTAATTGGAATTTTTTTTTCAAACTGTACCCCAAAACCATAAAAATTGACCCAGATTATTGAAAAATTTATTCCTCACCGAGTGTACACAAGGGAAGTAAGCTATACCTCAATTGAAACAGCAGTAAATAAGCTTTCCTGAAATGCATGTTTCTTCTCCAAGAAAAAGGAAACAATCTCATTGAATGCTTTCAAACTAACACTAATTAGCATAAAATATCATCAAAATTTGAACTGTGAATTAAGTGATATCCAAATGATATAAAGTAATGAGGCAAAAATTAACTAAACAAGTTCCTTGTTATATGAGCAACATCTCCATAAAAATTGGTTAGAAAATAATAAATCTGAGATGTGTTATACATATTTAGTGAACACTGATTGAAGTACGGACTAATAAGTCTTACCTTAACACCATGCCCAAGCCCAAATTTACTAATCCCTCTTGGAGCATCTTTCCCAATGTGAATGTTGAAGTCTACAGTGCAACCATTGGAACTATATTTCTTTGTTTGACTTCTGAAATTTTGCCTTGAAATAAGGACAAATGGGATAATCAACCTCAAAACACTTAAAGCGCAACATATATCAAAAGCCTTTCACTTGCAATGCACCACCAGTATTTTTCAAGAGTAAAACAATTTAGAAGTGAAACCCGAAACTGTCATTTTATATCATTCCACTCATTTTTGAGCATAACTTGTTTGTTTTGTGAATTTTCGGCATGTAACAAGTAGAACCACATCTAAAAAACATACAAAACATATAAGATAATTGTGCAGGTCGATATATATAAAACTATCGTTTTAAAAATTAAAGATTTTATTTGATTTAGTTCGGACGCACACTGCGTCATTCGATCTGTGATTGGCAGATAATTTAGGCCGTTGCGTTATAAAATTCCATTGAACATTATTTACTCTGTCGCTTCAAAATCATGTTTGATCACAATAGATCTTGCTTTTCATTCACAAATATACATTTACAGGTTTGTCTCAAGGCAAAAAACAAGAATTCGTGCGCGAAAAATAAAAGTAAATGTAATTTTACACTGTTCCAACACCACATGCGTCATGCAGTTAAATATCGCAAGAATGTTTATAGATTACTTACCTCGATTCTTCGCTAGGATTTTCCAGTCTTCTGTCTAATTCGGATTCCTCAACACTAGACATACCACCATGCTCACTTCCATCGTCAAAAATCGTCTCTGAAGCCTTAGCTACGCTGTATCTCTAGCGTTTCGCATCGAACGCCATTGTTGCAGATTGAAATCGTACGCAAATGATTTTTCGGAACCGGCTCCCAAGGTCACGTTTGGTAGTTCGGAGCTAAAACTCGCCATGTGATTGGCTTAGAATGTCTAGATGTTACAGTCGGAATTTCAGAACGATCAGATGTAATGCGAACATTTCCGAAAAGGCCAACGTCATCGTGCAATTTTGCACGATCGACCCAAGGGGTCGACTACGTAGAGTTGAATTAATTAAGGATAACTATAATGATGGAAGGATTGCTCCTCAATGAGTCGGAGCGTTTGCGTTACTTACAATGTCTTCGGCCTTTGCATACTTCATGATACTAACTTGGTGTTAAGTGGCTCACATCATTAGAAATCCTATACTAATCATAAGTGCGGGGAACGCTCTGGTAAGTAAAGGTCAAATATGCAAAACTCTGTACGAAGTTCTTCAAGAAATTAATTTTTCATTCGGGAGTAGAAATTTCTTATGGGAGAGTGGTCTGTTGATAAAACAGGATGAAGTAATGGTAGCCGTACCTGTAGAAACTTCGCTCCGTGCCGTCATGATTGCCACAGCTAAAACCAAAGTGGCAAGGGCTGTTAAGAGCGAAGCAACAGCAATGGCAGATACGATTAAGAATAATGGGTGATGTTTCACTGAGTCAGAATCCTTATACAGCTGTGTTTCCACCTTCGACTTTGCCTTAGGAGTGTCCTCTCTGAAAACTAAACTGGTATACGTTTCGGCGTGATCTTCTTGTTTGGATTCCATTTCGAAAGAAACGTTCATCCGCCCGACTTCGGTCTTTGTATCCATTATTGGGTGTTATGATTGTGCCTTTTGTGGAGCAGATCAACTTTAGACGCTTCTGGAGGCGAAACAAGCTTAGGCAAGCCAAAAAGATGCTGAAATGCGATGCGATACGATCATATGATCATCACTGACTGATGATACAGCGAAGAATGACTGATGCGTAAGCTGTCTTAAAATAGGATGATGACAGGAAGTGTTTGTTTCGACGTAATTCTATAGGTTGTGCAATAAAAGATTGAACTGACCTTAAATGATGATGAAAGCATTATTGAACAAAATGATTATGCTGTCTTGATATTGATGTAGGTTATCACCATTTACCCACTTTCCAACAACAACAATAACAACATCTTTTATTTAAACACGGTGGGTTTAGAGCTAACGTAGCTTATGGGGCTGTGTAAAAAAATATTAATCAAATAATAAAAATTAAAATAAAAATATAAAATTAAAGTTATTAAAACTGAATGTAGTCAATAAAAAGTGGAATATGTACAATAAAAGGTATGAATGTGGTCAATAAAAGGCGAAATTCCTGTCAATTTGGGGACGGCCCATTTGCGGTGACTCTGCATTAAAGTTCAAGTTTCTGAGGGCGTGAGACTTTTCTACCCTTTTGGCGTAGTCCCTGGCGCTGACAGCGAATGGTTCTAAAATATTCCAAACAATGGATCCTCTACGAGAAATAGAGTTTTTCATACAATAAGTTTCAAAACGTTGTGCGCCAACACGATGTTGATGACGGAGGTCATACTTATGCTCTTTCCTTTGGATTATATGTTCCAAGCATGATGGAGTTATGCGGTTGTAGATATCATGAATTAAGGTGGCTATTTTGCCCTTATAAGTGTCGAATAAAGAATCCTAGTCAGCTGTTTTTCTTACATCCTCAGAAGGCGTATCGCGCGGGAGGTTATATATAACTCTGGCGGCCCTACAATGTATTGATTCCAGAGAATTAAATTCGTTTTTGTTTGTACAACATCCCCAAATTGGTAGCGCATATGTAATCGAGGGTAAAATGACTTTAAAATATAGATCTAAAAGCGAATTCCTGGGTAAAAAGCGGCTGCATTTGATCAGATTGAGCTTGTTAACGAACCCTCCCTTGAGCTCTGATATGTGTTTAGACCACGTAAGCTTGCTATCAATGGTTACACCGCTGGTTAATTTTTAAACTGCCTAAGGGACCGATAAGATGATTTCGTTTAAGGATCATTCCCTCGCACTTTTTGGGGTGTGGTACTAGGGAGTTATGTTTGCACCAGAGGGCGAGTTCTTCTAGAGCTTTGTTCAGCGTTGTTGTGCACTGGTCTACAGATTCACCAACACAGTACATGGTAGTATCATCGGCATACATGAATGCGTTGCAGCGATAACTTCTTTCGGCATTGGTTAAAAATAGTAGTGCGGATTTAAATATTAGAAAGCAACAGTTCGTAGTAAAACTAAGAGGTTTTCTGGGTAACATGCATATGACCACTTAGTTTCACAAAACTTTCTTCCAGTTCCATCCTTAACGCTGACTCTCTCGTTGAAACTGTTGATTTACTCCCATATATTTTGTTTTTAAGTGATATTTTGGATTTCCTAGACTGAAATTTGATGCAGCCAGGCACAACTTCTCAAAATTAGTTTCACGCAAGAAATTAATCACGATTAGATGATACAGGTGGGGGGTGGGTCTGCCCTGAGGTTCCACCTTTGAATGAATATAAATGATAGGAAAGTCTTAGCCTATTAACTTTGATATCATTAAAGTAAAAGATAATGTGGCTAAGTAGGGTGACTCTCGACTGAGTGAGTGTGGAAAGTAATGCTACTTTGCTTTGATTTAGCATTACTTCAAAAAAAATCTCGCACCATCCTCTTTCTCTCACTTTGAGCAGATAACCTGGTTTTACTTTTATTTTACTTTGATTTTGGTTTTACAACACTCAACTGAAATGCCCTCTGAAAGAAAACCCAGTTTACTGGGCATATTTGAAAAATAGTATCTACGTTAAACCACTAAATTATTCTTCGTTTCGTTTCTAAATCAACACTGTATTATCTTCTTTACAAAGAGTCCTGTTCATTAAATGGCTTTCAGTTTTTCCTCTTATAACTGACACTCCCAGTAGTGCATGTAACAATACATCGTCGTTTCTCCAGTTGTTAGGGTACCTTCGCAAGAGCATTTGTAGGTTCTCTTTCCAACTGAGATGGAGCTTGATAATTTAGCAACTTTCGCGTCGTTTGTATCACAGTTTACGCCAATAAAGATTTTACCCTGGCAGGAAAAAAAAGACAATAATTATGATACTGATGATAATGATAAATTACGTCAAGAGTTCGAAATGTGGATGAGCAAAACATTTCTTTCCTCTCAATGGTGTACACACGACGTGACGAAAGCCGACGCCCACAATCTGGGGGATACTTAGTATGAGTTTTCCATGCCGAAATCGGATATCACAAATACAGCCTACACGACTAGGGACGTTGGAAGAGAAAATCCACGTGTTTGCTAACACTGGCCTTTAAATGTACCCTAAATTACTGGTTCCCTCAGCGGGCATGTCGTTCGTGTAAAATCGATTTTTGTTATCACTTAAAGGGCGAGATACAGATTCATAAAAGCCGGCGTAGCGAATACTTTAAAAACTGATATTTTCAAACGCTTTTTTGTTCCATGTCAGGCCGAGGATATAATTGCTCCGTGTGGGATTAAAGAAATAACCTTAGATACACTGAAAGGTATGAAATTGTCAAAACAAAAAACAAAAAAAAAATACTTTACCTTAAATTTGGCAGCAAAATGAACTTTTCCAAAAAGTTCTTGCTGAATTTCAAAACAAGTTGTTATTGAAATAGGTTGCTGTTCATAGTGGTAGTTGGATGATATTATAAGGTTGGCTCTGTTGTCTCACGACAAGGTCACTTGATGTGGAACGCAGCGTTTCGACTGCTCACTGCAAGTCTTCTTTAGGCGTGCCACTGGTTGTGGCACTGCATTATATATCATAGTGGTCTGTTGTGATTGCTGCACTTCGATCCGGCTATTGTTTCCATGTACCATGGCTTCCTCAGGCGTTCGCTGGTTTTCGTGCCTCGTTGGTTTAGATGTTTCCTTATTGAAGGCATCCATGCTTCCAGCATTTCGGCTCCGCTATCCCTGTTTATGTTATTTGGGTTGAGTCTTATGTGAATTGCCTCCTTCACTTTCCTTGTGGACCAGTGGCTTTCTCGGGCAATAAGCTTGGTTTCGTTCCACAGCGGCTTGTGTCCGGTTCCCTTGGCATGGTCTGAAACCGCGGAATTCTGAGTGCGTGCGTGTCGTACATCCCTGTCGTTCTCCTTCATTCTTCCTTGCATGGGTCGTCCTGTTTCCCCGATGTAGACTTTGCCGCATGAGCATGGTATCTTGTAGACTACGTCATCTTGCTTGTTTGGGTCAGCGGGGTCTTTTGGTCTGACCAGCCGAGATCTTAGTGTGGTGTCGGATTTAAAGACGGTGCGTATTCCTTGTTGCTGTAGGTGGCGGCGGAGGGGTTCGGAGACTCCTTTGATGTATGGCAGCACTGCGGTAGACTTTAATTCTGTTATTTCCCTCTCGGTTGTTGGATCCTGGTTTTGGTCACCTTCTGTAAGAAGGACGGAGGGTAGCCGTTGGCGACGAGAACTGTGGATAGATGTTTTTTCCCCTGGGCTGTTCCGGATGGCTTGGTGATGATGCGTTTAGCACGGCCATGTAAACACTTGACAATATCGCGTTTAACAGATTGTGGGTGGTGCGAATCATAGGCGAGGTACTGGTCGGTGTGGGTGAGTTTTCTGTATACACTTGTGAGCAGTTTACTGTCTGGTTCCCTTGTTACGAGGGTGTCGTGGAAGGCGGTCTTGTTGTTATTCTCAGTTTCCATGGTGAACGGATGGACGGGTGTTGTTGGTTGAGGTGGCTCAGAAAGTTATCCGCGTTATGCTGTTTCATGACGGTGAACGTGTTATCTACATAGCGCTTTCATATTCTCGGTGGTTCTGGGGCTGTAGCTAAGGTTTGTTCTTCGAAGGTTCCCATGTATAGATCGACAATTACGGCGGAAATCGGGCTGCCCATCGGTGCTCCTTCTTTTTGCTCGTAGAGTGCTCCGTTGTACTTAAAGTATGTGGATCTCAGAGCGAAATTTAGAAGGTCTGCAATCTGGGAAGGTGTTAGCGCTGTGCGGTCTGGTAGGCTCGGATCGTTGTTCAGTCTATGTAACGCGGCCTGTACTGTTTCTTCTATAGGGACGTTGACGTCAAAGGATATCATTACTTCGTCTGTTTGGATGGTCTCTTTGCTGATGATATTCGCAAATTCTCCTTAGTTCTTCACTGTGTAGCTGGAGTTACCTGTGAGAGGACACAAAATTCTAGCTTGGTGACCCGATTGGCCGTAAGCGGTGCGTTGGCTTTGTGTATTTTTGGTACGCCGTAAATTCTGGGTGGTTGTTTCTGATTCGGCCTGATCTTGATTTATTCGGTCTCCGGTAGGTTCCCGCTTCGTTTGAGTTGTAGCAGCTTTTCCGTGGCTTTTCGGCTCAAGCAGTCTGTTGGGTCTTTGTTCAGGTGTTTGTACGGTTCGGTCTCGATCAGTGTTGACATCTTGGAGTGGCAGCAGTTTCGTGTCGAGGACTACAATTGCACAGTCTTTGTCTGCTGATAGGATCATGATGGAATGGTCCTGTTTGAGACTTTTTAGCGCATTTCGCATTTCCGTTATGATGTTAGGCTTGGGTGGTACGGCCTTTTGGTGTACGTTGTTCACGGTTCTTCGGACTGTATCTGCTTGTTCCGCGTCGAGTGGTCTGATGGGTGTTTCTACCTTCGCGATTATTTCTGTGGCCCGGATGTTGGTCGGCGTGACGGCGAAGTTTAGTCCTTTCTTGAGCAGGGTGGTTTCTGGAGCAGGGTGGTTTCTGCTTCGCTGAATGTTCTGTTTAGACAGGTTAATGTCCCAGTTTGCTTAGTCAACTTTGGGTGGCGAGGTTGACCTGCTGGCTGCTTTCTGTTCGAGGAGAAGTTTCTAGAATTTTTGTTTCTGTCGCTCCCTGGGGTGACAACCAGTCGACCCCATCGCCTGAAGAAGACTTGCAGTAAGCAGTCGAAACGTTGCGTTCCACATCAAGTGACCTTGTAGTGAGACAACTGAACAAACTTATATTATCAAGTTGTTAAAGGTTTTCTTTTCTTTTTGTTTTCGTGATGATGGAGATTTAAGACTTAAAAGAGAGGAAATTACCTTTGATTTTCAAAATCGATGCGGCCTATGGTTGGAAAGTAATAACTCAACTTTATGACTCAAGGTGAGTCCTTACGACATTTAGAAAACTCCTTTGACTGGTAAATATTGTCTCCAGTGTTAATATGTCGTAAAGCAATTTTCAATAGTATATTTTTTTGTCAGAATCAAACAACTTTCACAATCTTCAACTCAACTTATCTTGAGTTCCGTCGCTGTAGTTTCTTGTTGGGCGATTGAGTTTGCTGCCATACCAGTGCTGGTTAAAGTCTTAAAAACACAGGAACCGGCCCCGGGTCCAGATGGGCCCTGGGTACCATTGAACCCAGATGGTCCACGAAGGCCCTGAACACCAGGTAATCCTGATGATCCTGCAGGGCCCTGAGTACCATTATATCCCGGAGGTCCAGGAGGTCTGGACAACTGCAATGATTCGCATTGTAACAATAACAATGATGGTCATGATGATCAGGATAACAGTGGTAGAAAAACTTAATAATAGCATCGTAGAAGAAGAGGAAAATGTCATTTAATTCTTACTTTTTCTTTAACCATAACATTTCAACTCGATGAATACATTGTTGACGTTTCGATAGCCTTTAAGACGTATTCTTTGGGTGACTGGATCAAATTTTCTGATCAGTTGTTGTGTTATAGAACTAGGATATTCCAGAAAAGTTTCATGGTATGAGGGAAGTTATATTTATTTATTTATTTATTTTAATTTTTAATTCAAGAAAAATTTGTACAGAACTAAACTTACATTACTCTTCTTACATTACTCCCAGAAAAGTTTCATGGTATGAGGTAAGTTATATTTATACTACCATGCGCTTTTTTACCATGTTAGGCTGGATTGGGGTAAATACGTTTTCCTTGCTTGTGTGTAGTTTTATTAAATCTCTCTTTCCTTGTTTCTTCCGATCGATTCAAAAGGAATCATGATTTGTCTCAATTTAAAATGGCGCCGTTTACAATTTCTTAGAATTTGATTGGCAGTAATGTTATTGTACTAAGAGATCCAGAACTTTTCAACAACTTTATTCGAAACCTCCATAGTATGAATGAATTTTATCGATAATACGACGTGCTTGTTTACCATCTTGATGCATTAAGGTGCACTCGTTTTCCCTGTTCAAGCGCAGTTATGCAAAATTTCTCACTTCCGCATTTCTAGATCAGATTTTCCTGTTCATGCGCTGTTATGTAAAATCTCTCTCTCCCGCATTTCTTTCGATCGAAACAAAACTTAGACATTAGAAACTTAGAAACTCTTAGTCTTTTAAGAATCTATATTAATAAAAGTGGTTCAAGTCTGCACTTGGGTTGAGTTTGAGATAAAGTTTGTTTTTTTTTTTCTAAATATTTCTTGAAACTTTTGTGTTAAGAAAAAAAATTGTTTGCAAAAATATTGTTTTGGACCCGACCCAGACTTTTTTTGCACCTTTCTTTTCAATTTTTTTAAAATTATATATATTACTGTTACATCACTGTGGAGTGTCAACAACAGCGTTTTAACAATTAGGCGAGCGTCTACAACTTAAATGGCTTTTATTTCCCCCAAGGAAAATACACCATCAAGCGAAACTTGCGTGAAGTTTCAAAGTCTGGCCATCTAAGTTTTCCAAAAATTCGAGAGGAAAATTCTATGAATCTTTTAAAATTAACAGTACAATTGCTAAATTGATAGTTTGGCATAATTGTTCGCACTGAATACGTTTGGCTTGAAGTCATCACCAGCACTTTACCACCGGCTACAGAACTTACGCAGGCGTTATTAACATAGGTTATTATTGTCCGAACAAGCCCTTTTCTGGCGGCTGAGCTATCCTTTACCAAACCTTTTTTAGTTTTTATGCTTTGTAAATTTTCAATGGCGCAAAAATACTTTGATTTCTTTCACGAACGCGGCAAAAAAGCGTCGCGAACATAGCAATGGCTTCTCGATTTTAATTGGCTGCTTTCATTTGTTTTTTCCAGCGTGCTAAAACACACGAACCGACAAAGTGATAATATTTAAATCCGTAGCATCGTCTCGATAAGCTTTCGCTCGATCAAAAAATTGACTGTCGCTATACTCGAGAAAAAGAAAGAGATCTGATCAGGCGGGTTGTGGCTTCACCAGAAGGACATAAGATATCATAGAACACAGAAGGAGGTAGTTTGTATCTCAAGCCAAATCGACTGGACCGCTCTTACGAAGTCTTAAATACGTAAAAGTTTTTATCGATGATCAAAGGAAACATCGCTGACTTGGTCTTTTTTTCTTGGTGAATCATTGTTGGTTTCAGGAGATGATAACCACTAATCTAGTTTTAAGAGGCATTACAATACATCTGAGAGCTTTTATATTTATTCGATCACTGCGATTAATGAAAAAAACAAACAAAAAAACGAACACAAACACAAAATTGCTCTTACCGATTTTTTTTGTAGAGCCTAGAGGATCCTCTCCAACTCCTGAACCTTCTTTTCGATCTGCGACTTATCTGGCAGAGTAAATAGTTTAATACTTGTAAATGGAAAAAGAAGAAAAATGATTCAACGCAGAGGGTTTGATTTATTATATACCTGCATTTTATACAAATAAATCTCATGACTATTTGTCGAACATTTTCTTTGTTTCGCTTTCAATCCTCGCATGTTTGAGATAGCAACAAATAAGGCCATTGATCACAATCCCATAGATGTGATTTATCAATCCAAGAGTGATAGGTTTTTCAGTTACTTATCTTTTCTCTTTTTGAATTGGCGTTTTGATTAAGAATAATTAATCTTTTTTACAGTAATATGCTTGATTTGCCACACTCGCGGATCGGAGTTGTGTGAGAGCAAACCAATTAACTGTTAAAGAAATATATTTTTCAACGCTTAGTTGTCACAACTTAGCCTCATCTAAATATCAAATCATCATAGAATTACCCATGTTGTTCATGATTACGACTAAGTACAATGATAGACAGATTGCCCCTTGTAAGCAATGTCATTTTCTTAGACTTGAAATCCTATACTAATCATCAGTGCGGAGAAAGCTCTAGTAAACAAAGGTCAAGCATTTCAAACTTTGTACGAAATTCTTCAAGAGGTAATTTTT